TGGGAGCCAGCAATCCTGGATTGTGAGAGGGATCTTCAGATTGAAGAGGGTGCAGGTTGGGCTGAGGGACACCCTCCCCCGGCCAGTGCACGAATTTTGTGCACCAGGCCTCTAGTATTATATAAGGGAAAATTGTGCTGCCCCCAGAATGACATAATCCTATATAATAAAAAGCTAATATGCTAATTAGACCGAACAGCAGAACAACTGGACAACCTTCTGGAAGAAGCTGGGGCTGCAAGGGCTGAGCCCCTTGCACAAATTTTGTGCATTGGGGCCCTAGTTGTATATATTTAAAGCAAGATTTTGCAACCACAGCAATATTCTCATTATTTGTGGTAAGGGGCTGTTCTGTGGTGTTTAACAGCATCCCTGGCTTCTACACACTATACTGTCTCCAGAGTGACAACCAAAAATGTCTCTAGGTACTGCCAAATGTCCCCTGGAGGGAAAAATTGCACCAGGTACCACTGATTTAAAGGAACTTGACTAAAAATTCACTTTTTAAAAGATGAAAATAAACAGAAAAATAACTAAAACTCTATAGAGATCAAGATAGTACCTAGGTAGCAGATACACTTGTTGTGGCAAATGCCAAATTAGTGGGAAAATAATCTGCTACCAAATTTGTATTATGACCCAGTCACTGAAGCTATAAACAAACATTGAGAATAATTCAGGCACTTACTGCTCCAGAAAAATTTCCCTCTTCCTTCCTCTCTCTAAAAATCAATAAAAAATAATTTTTAAAGAGTAAAAAGTAAAACTCAAGGAAAGGAAAAGCTTCTAAAACACACAGCATAAGGCAACATCACAGCCCCCTCAGTCTTTGGTTCAGGTATCATTAAAAGCCTAATAAATTGCTAGTTTCACAAGTCTATTCAGTATGACACTTCAAAATTAATTACAGTGTCAGTTTATGTTCTGGCTAACAGACTTTTTTTTTAATGATTGCTCTACTGATTGCTTCCATGACAATGCCATTTTTACATCACAATTTTAGAAGTACTAAAGTTACTGTTGGCATAGCATAAGTATATCTGTCAACCCTACTCAATAAAATTATTCAGCTGTACACAATTCGCTACATTAATTTTCAAATTGACTGAAATACAAGATAATGTTTTAGGGTCACCTAACTTCTAAAATTCCAACAGATTAACTCATGGAATTTTTGGTATTTTGAAAATCAACAGTCTGTCCTTTCTCATTAAGTAGCATTTCTGATTTTTCATTGTAAAAACATGACTGGAGCCCTAACCGGTTTGGCTCAGTGGATAGAGTGTCAGCCTGTGGACTGAAGGGTCCCGGGTTCAATTCCGGTCAAGGGCATGTACCTTGGCTGCGGGCACATCCCCAGTAGGGGGTGTGCAGGAGGCAGCTGATCGATGTTTCTCGCTCACTGATGTTTCTAACTCTATCCCTCTCCCTTCCTCTCTGTAAAAAATCAATAAAATATATTTTTTTTAAAAAGTAGATTTAAAAAAAACAAACAAGACTGGAAGTTCATGACAGCATATTTACATGGCTAAGAACAAATCTGGTACCTAAAGAATAGCAATGATAAGTTTTAAGTCTCTTCTTTATCTTTTCTTCACATAGTTTAATGCAAGAAGAACCACTTATTTGATACATTAACTAACAAATATTCTGATAGGCCTAAGATAGAAGAAAACAGAGTATGGCAAGAAAAAAGAGAAATGCTTTCAAGGAATATTCAATCTAGTGGAGGACAAGGACATGTTCCATCTTTCAGTTAGTGCTGAGTAACAATGATATACAAAATGCAATGAAATGTGATATGGATAAGAAAGCAAGGAATTTCCATGAGAGCTGGGAAACTTCATTCTGAAGTATTTCATTTGCCAATATTCTGAACAGTTGGGATTTATAGAGATAGGATTCTGGGGAAAATACTTGGGAGAGAGGGAAAGAGAGGCAACAGCAGAAACTTGAAAGAAGAGAAGCAGAGGATCCACTGAAAGAATACCAAAGCAGAGAAGGAATAGGACAAAATTATAACTACAGGTAAAGTGGCAAGGCCCTTGGCTTTGGAAAGCAAAGGCGTTATTTCTTCTACTGAGAAAGAGCCTCGAAGTGAAAGACTGAAAATACAGATACATTTTGAGATTGGAAGGATTAAAGTGGACATTATTTACTTAGAGGAAGGAGGCAGCTGAAGGCTTTCAGGGAAGGTAAAAACAATTTGGATTGGTCAGTGTATTGAGTCATGTAATAAAAGTAATACCAGGTGGCAATGAAAGCTAGATAGCTTGAAAGTACAATAGATCCAATCAACATTGGGTGACTTTCTTCAGCAACTTTTAATTGAAAAAGAAAGCTGAGGAGAGGTCAGTATGACAAAGGCCCATTAGGGCAAGAAATTCTATGGTTCCCAAGAAAGCACTGGGAAAAGAAATGCCTTTGCTGTGCAGGCTGGATTAGGAGGCAAATAAAACACAAAGGAGCTAGCAGATCAGCCCAGAGACCAGAATAAAGGAGTCTCCACTAAACTTGTTTTAGAAGTGGAGGCAACAGTGGCTGGGAAGCAATGAATTGGAAGTCCTCCTTGTTCTTCAGAAGCCAGAGCAGTGCTTCACTATTTCAAAGAAACTGCACTCACTGTATGACCTCGATCTGTTTGCACAGAATATTAATTCTAATTAAACATATCCTTGCATAAAAGGATAATATAACCTGGTAGGAAACTAGAGACCCTATAAGTACACTGCCTCAAAAAACATGATATCGTATCGTATCACATAAGCACCATCACCATCTCTAAATTTACAGGAGTCATACTTTTATTTGTAGCTTATGTTTCTACTAAGACTGCTACATTAATCATATTAAATTTTATATATAAAAAGTGTTCACGAAAAATTAAAAAATGGAGCCCAGCGGTAGCTCAGTGGTTGAGCATCAACCTATGAACCAGGAGGTCATAGTTCAATTCCTGGTCGGAGCACAGGCCCGGGTTGTGGGCTTAATCCCCAGGATGGGGCATGCAAGAGGCAGCTGATCAATGATTTCCTCTCATCATTGATGTTTCCACCTCTCTCTCCCCCTCCTTTCCTCTCTCTGAAATCAATAAAAATATAAAATAAAAACAAAAAGACTAGCAAACAGCCCTGGCCAGGTGGTTCAGTTGGTTGGGGTGGTCTCTCGATGCGCCAGGATTTCCGGGTTCCATCCCTGGTCAGGGCACATAACAAGAATCAACCAATGAATACATAAATAAATGGAAAAACAAATCAATGTCTCTCTCTCTTAAAAAAAAAAATCAATTAAAAAAACCTGCTAACATAAGAATTGACTATATAAAATGATTCTATTCATACATACAGAGTTCAAAAACAGGCAAAACTAATTAAACTGTGAGGCCAGGACAGTGATTATTACTCTTGGACTAAGGAGGGGTAGTAACTAGAAGGAGAATCCAGGGAAGTTTCTGGGATGCTAGTTATGTTGTTTCTTGACCTATGTGTTGTTACACCAATGTATCTACTTTGTGAAAATTCATCAAACACACTTAAGATTTGTGCTTTTATGTATATTATACTTCATTTAAAAGTTTTAAAACGATTACCTAAAACAAAAAAATAATAAAATATACTCAAATTGCTAATTGTATTAGGGTAGAATGATTATATAATTTTCTTTTATAGCCTCAATTTAAAAAATTATCTGAAATATATTTTTAGACTTAGTCCTTTCTAGAATAATCAAATACTTCCTATGTGCCAGACCTTGTTCAAAGTACTTTATACATACTGAATCACCAAATCCTCAAAACAACCCTATGAATTTGGTATGTTATTGCTTCACTTTAAAGCTGAAGAAACTGTGACACTGAGGTTGAATAACTTGCCCAAGATAACAGCTAAAAAGTGGCAAAGCCATAATTTGAAACAAGGTACTCTAGCTCCCAAGTTCATGCTCTGAAACACTATCCATACCATCTCTCCAATAAAATTTCACTTTACAGTGAGAAAAACATAATTAAGAAAATACATTATTTAATCAATCTAAATAATTATCATTCTATTATTACTATTTAGTTCTCCATGAAGCTGGATGCTAAAAAAAATTGCATATAAGGATAAGGGGTATAATCAAATGGAGTAACTGAATGTCACTCAAAGTTAGTCAGATACCTCTCTTCTATTCTGTTCTTATCCATAAGAGGCTGCTTAATCCACTGGTTAACCAGTCTTTGTCCTTGCGGGGTTTTGCACTTATTCAGCAATGCAGCCAGAGACTGAGAGCCAGTGGTATCTTCAACAGAACCCTAGTAAACAAAAAATGAAAAAGAATGGCATTCTCATTAGTGAAAAATCTTACTATGCCATGAAAAATAATTTTGAGAACCAAGAACATTTAATATTCTTCAAATATTAAATAAGAAATCTGCACAAAAGTTCTTCCTAAAGTCAAATTTTCAACCCGTTAATCTGTATTTTCTGCTGTGTATTACCCAAACCAAAACCGCTTTGTATTTACTGCAGTTTTAGACATAAAACTTATGAATATGTAATTTTAAAAAAACTATATTAAAAATTATGTATAAAGTCAGGGCAAATACTGTTTATATAACTTACAACTAGACAAATATAGTAATTCAAGGGTGAGGTCCGAGCAGGCCAGGGTCAGGGAACAGTGTGCTTGGAGGGAGCAGGGGGAAGGGGAGGAAGGTGTGTATACTAATGCAAAACTACTTATTCAAGTATAATAATATTTCAAAATATTTAAGCTCCTTAGAAAGATTCTTCAGGCCCTAGCCAGGCTGACTCAGTGAACAGAGCATCGCAGGCCGCAGATTCAGTTCCAGTCAAGGGTACACACCTCGGTTGCAGGATCAATCATATGCCCCACTCGGGGCGCATGTGGAGGCAACCAATTGATTTGCCTCTCTTACAGTGATGTTTCTCTTTCTCTTTCTCTCTCCTCCTCCTCCTCCTTTCCACTCTAAAAATCAATAGAAAAATATCCTGGGGTGAGGATTAACAAAAAAGAAAGATTCCTCAGGGTATGTGAGAGGAAACATTTATAACCATTCAATGGTTCTTATTTTGAGACTTCTTTTGTAATAGTCATCTGTATATTGTATTGTGTTTTCACCACCACAATTCTTCTTCCATCACCACTTAGCCTCCTTTACCCGTCTTCTACCTTCCCCACCCCCTTTCCCTATAGTACTCACCATACTATTGTTATGTGTCTATGAATTTTACCATTCAATGTGTTCTTTTTTAATATGCATTCTTATTGCGTTTTAGAGAGAAAAGGGAAAGGGAGAGAGAAACATTCATGAAAGAAACATCGATCAGCTGCCTCCTGCACGCCCCCTACTGGGGATTGATCCCAAAACCTGGGCAAGTGCACTGACCAGAAATAGAACCTGCAAATTCTGGGTGCATGGGATGACACTCAACCAACTGAGCCTCATGGCCAGGGCATATCTTTCAATGTTTTCAATCCATGTATTATTTTATTTACCTGGAAAAGGTTAAGGGCTCTGACTGCTGCAATATCCAATTTCATGTACTGGTGAAAGTCAAAAGTAGTCAGTTCAAACTGTCCAAAGTTTGAATCATCTGACAAGAGTTCTAAAAACTTGATAACTGCAGACAATGATGCAACTGCAACCTAAGATTAAAAATATAAAATAAAAGATTGTCATCACTAGAATTCTAGAGATATTTTTTAAAGGCAATGGGGAAAAAAAATTTCAAGCACATCATTTTCCTTGGTGTTTCTTCCCAAGCCACACTAAGAAAATAAAAGTTTAAATAAATCTCTTAATATTAGAAAATGATTTTTAGAAAATGAAAATATACTATAATAGTAGCACTGTTCATAACAGCCAAAAATAGAAAATACTCAAATGCTCATTAAGAGCAAACTGGGTAAAGTCTGGCATGTTCAATGTTCACCCTAAGGAATACTACACACAATATAGGTACAAACAATCTGCAACTACATGCAATATGAATAAATCTCACAAACATAATACTGAATGAAAGAAACCAGACACAAAGAGCATATATAACTATATGATTCCATTTACATAAACAACAAAAACAGGCCAAACTAATCTACAGTCAGAGGTAAGAACCAGCTTACCCTGGGTGGCGGTAATGACTGAAGTTCATATACTCCTTATATGTATATTTAAATAAGAAATTTAAATAAATTATTATATATATTCTGACTGCTGCACCAACCAGCCATTCCTCTGGTCTCCCTCTCCTCAGGCCTCTCTCTTTCCTGAGACATAACAAAACTGAAATCAAGACAATTAATAATCCTACAATGGCCTCTAGGTGTTCAAGTGAAAGGAAGGGTCCCCTGTCTCTCACTTTAAATCAAAAGCTAGAAATGATTAAGCTTAATGATGAAGGCATGTCAAAAGCCAAGAAAGGCCGAAAGCTAGTCTTCTTGTGCCAAACAGGTAAGCCAAGAGTGAATGCAAAGGAAAAGTTCTTAAAGAAAAGTGAAAGTACTACTCCAGTGAATACTTTAAATGAATGCTTTTAAATGAATGATTTAAAAACAGCAAAGACTTTTTGCAGATATGGAGAAAGTTTTAGTAGTCCAGATAGAAGAGTAAGCCAGTCACGTCCTTAAGCCAAAGCTTAATCCAGAGCAAAGTCCTAACTCTTGAATTCTATGAAGGCTGAGAGGTGAAGAAGCTGCAGAAGCTTGAAGCCTACAGAGGTTGGTTTATGAGATTTAAGGAAAGAAGCTCTCTCTCTAACAATAAAATCGCAAGGTACAGAGTGCTACTGTAGAAGCTACAGCAAGTTCTCCAATAGATCTAGTTAAGATAATGAATAAAGGTAACTACACTAAACACCACATTTTCAATGTAGATGAAAGAGCCTTATATTGGGAAAAGATCCCATCTAAGACTTTCATAGATAGAGAGAAGTCAATGCCTGGCCTCAAAGCTTCAAAGGACACACTGACTCCCGTTAGGGGCTAATGCAGCTGGTGACTAAGTTGAAGCCAATGCTCATTCACCATTCTGAAAATCTAGGGCCCTTAAGAATTATGCTGAATCTACTCTGCCTGTGCTCTAAAAATGGAACAACAAAGCCTGGATGACAGCACACCTGTACTGAATATTTTAAGTCACTGTTGGGACTTATTGCTCAGGGGAAAAAAAGATTCGTTTCAAAATATTACTGCTACCCTAGCCGGTTTGGCTCAGTGGTAGAGTGTCAGCCTGCAGACTGAAGGGTCCCAGGTTCCATTCCAGTTGAGAGCATATGCCCAGGTTGCGGGCTCAATCCCCAGTAGGGGGCATGCCGGAGGCAGCTGATCAATGATTCTCTCTCATCATTGATGCTTTTATCAATCCCTCTCTCTCCCTTTCTCTCTGAAATCAATAAAAACATTAAAAAAAATATATATATATGTATATATATTATTTTTTTTTTCACTGACAATGCGCCTCGTCACCCAAGAGCTCTGATGGCCGTATACTGATTAGACTGATTTTGTTTTTATGCCTAACACAACATTCATTCTGCAGCCTACAGATTAAAGAATATTTTCAACTCTCAAGTCTTATTATTTAAGAAATACAGTTCATAACGCTATAGCTGCCATTAATAATGATTCCTGTGATGGATTTAGGCAAAGTACATTTAAAGCCTTCTGGAAAGGACTCACTATTCTAAATATCATTAAGAACATTCCTAATTCATGGGAAAAGGTGAAAATAAACATTAACAGGAGTTTGGAAGGATGACTCAAACTCAAGGATGACTGAAAAGTTCAAGACTTCAGTGGAGGAAGTAATTGCTGATGTGGTGGAAATAACAGAACTAGAATTAGAAGTGGAGCCTGAAGATGTGACTGAATTGCTGCAATCTCATGATGAAACTTTTAACAGATGAGGAATTGATTCTTACCTATGAGCAAACAAAATGGTTTCTTGAGATGGAACCTACTCCTGGTGAAGATGCTGGGAAGACTGTTAAAATGACAGCAAAGGACTCCAATTTTGAAAGAAGTTCTACTGGGGGTAAAGTGCTATCAGATAGTATTGCAAGGTACAGAGAAATCATTAATGAAAGAAAAAGTGAATCAATGTGGCAAACTTCATTGTGTTCTTATTTTAAGAAATTTCAACAGTCACAGTTAGCAGCAATCAAAATCAAAGCAAGACCCTCCACCAGCAAAATGATTACAACTCCCTGCAGGCTCAAATAATAGCAATATTGCATGTTAGCAATAAAGTATATTTTAATTAAGGTATGTGCTATTTTTAGGTATAATTGACTAGAGTATAGTGTAAACTATACTCTATATAGAGTATAGTGCACTTAATAGACTACAGTGTAAACATAACTTTTATAAGCAATGGGAAACAAAAAAATGTGAGAGTCACTTTTTCACATATTCACTTTATGTGGTGGTCTAAACTGAACCTGCAATATCTCCAAGGTGTAACGGTACTGAACATAAAATAAGAAGTTCAGCAGAGCAAATGATAGCCCAAAGACAAATTCTACTTATTGAAATATACTTGATACTAGATTCATTATAAATGAACATATTTTTCCTAATTGATAACATAGTTATCTTTCTGCCCTTGCCAAACTCTAACAAATGTATAAGGTTGCCACAAGAATTTCCTGTCACCAGAAGACACAGATAAAAAGTTTCTTGTACCCTAAAAGCTTCTTCATATTTTCAACAGAGAGATAAGTTTCTCTAATATTGAAATTATTGCTCATCCATACTGGCTTTTCATTATGTCACCAAAAAAAGGTAAAAAGGATAAACTTAGTTTATAAGGACCAAACTATTAGCTGATAATCACTGCAAAATCATGGTAGTCATAACAGTCTCAGGTCGTTCGAGTTTGAAATCTACTTTGAAAATTACAAAGTTTGTTCTGTCTTATTTAAATATACAACAGAATTTTCCATTTTACTTCATTTTACTCCACAAACATCTTGTCAAGAGCTTCCAATATTTTACCATAAAAATACCTCTCCCAAGCCATACCCACCTCAAAGAGTTGAACAGTAACATAAACTTTAACCATTGAAAATGCCATAAATTACATTATCATGCATATTCATTTCTACCACTGAAAACATTATAACTAGTGCCAATTTTTGAGCCAACTTGTTTAAATGTAATTTTTATTATGCAATTATTTTGTGCTGTATATATTTTCACCCCTGTACTTTCTAATCTCCATAACAATCCTTAAAGACTGGTATTTTTAACCTTATTTAGCATGTAATGAAACTGCCTCTCAGAAGTAATTTATAAATGATTCTACAGCTTGTAAATTATAAAGCTTTGATAGGTCTTTCCCCCCCTCTAGGCAACAAGCTTTCTCACACACTTAAGTGACAGTAATCAGGCTCTTTCACATGAATCCAATAAAAGTCTTCCTTGTCCCAGAGATATTTCTGTAAATATTATAGAATTATGTTTAAGGTTATGTTTAAAATTTTCTAGTCATTTCCTTGAGTTTTTCTCAAGCTTCATCATAAAAATAAGCTTAATATCTGTGACCCACAGTTTAGGTTTGAGATAAATGTGACAGAAGTAGCCTTCTTAAAAAGTCACTATTAAAATTAGGACAAATTCACATTGTAATTCACATACCTGATTCTCCATTTCTGGCAAGACAGCACTATTCACCTGTTCTCCCTTTTTGCCTTTCAACAACCGGTTAAGGTCTTGATAAATATCTTTTGTGGAAAAGTCAGCTCTTTTTCTTTCTGTGATCAGAATTCCTCCTCTCTGAATAACCTATTTTACAAGAAATATTTTAAATTACTTTGAGAAAAGCTGTAAGAAAAGGAAAACTGTAACACTGACAAATATAAAGTGACAATATCTAACAAATTATTAACCCACCTTAAATTTTCATACTACATGCAAGATATTGCTAAAATATATATGTATTAACAAGTATTTTAAAAATATATAAACTAGCCCAAGCTGGTTTGGCTCAGTTGATTGAGCGTCGGCCTGGGGATTTAAGGGCCCCAGGTTCAATTCCAGTCAAGGGCATATGCCCAGGTTGTGGGCGTAATACTCTTAGAAAATTGCACGAGGCAGCCGATCAATGATTCTCTCTCATCATTGATGTTTCTATCTCTCTCTCCTTTCCTCTCTGAAATCAAGGGCATGTACCTTGGTTGCGGGCACATCCCCAGTGGGGAGTGTGCAGGAGGCAGCTGATCGATGTTTCTCTGGATATTTAAAATTATGTTCACATAAAGCTTTTAAAAAATATTCCCAAAGGTAAAAAAATCTTAACAGAGTAATACTCTTAGAAAATTGTTTAGATACTATCTATGCTAAAAATGCCCAGTTCTTATGGTATTTGAGGCCCACAAAAATAAAAGAACCCTTGGGCAATACAACAGCCCTTAAGAAATATCTAATAAACCATACACTTATACAAATGGCACAATCAAAATTTTGTTTAAAAAATCAGCTAGGCAGGGGAGGGAGGGGATAAACAGCAACCAAAGGTCTTGTATGCATGCACATTAGCATAACCAATGGACACAGACACTGGTGCAGTGGGGGCTTGCCCGGGGTGGGAATGGCTTGGGGGGGGGGGCGTTAATTGGGGGAAAAGGAGACTTATGTAAAACTTTAGACAATAAAAATAAATTAATTAAATTTTTTAAAAATCAGCTACAGTTCCACCTGAACTATCAAAAAAAATCCTGCCCTGGCTGGTATGGCTCAGTTGGTTGGGTGTCATCCCATGCACTGAAAGGTTGCCAGTTCGATTCCTGGTCGGGGCATATGCCTGGGTTACAGGCTCAATCCCTGGTAGGGGTGTGTGCAGGAGGCAGCTGATTGATTATTCCTTCTCACATTGATCTCTCTCTCTCTCCCTCTCCATTCCGCTCTCTCTAAAAATAAATTTTTAAAGTCTGTAAAAAAATAAATACTAATAATCCTGACAGTGTGGTGACTGTGAGGGAAAGGGGGGGTGGGGTGGAAATAAGGGAGGTAGGGGGGATAAATTGTGATGGAAAAAAATATAAATAAATAAAATTTAAAAATAATAATAGTCCTGAAGAACTGCATCGTATTTATTTGATAAATCCATGAGAGATACAATAATAAACTGTCGAGTTTTTAAAATCACCTTGTTTTTCCCCTCAACTGTGAAAGCATTGTGAGTTGATTTGAACCCTCTATGGCTCCCATTCTGTTACTCTTTAAGGAGGGAGGGAGGAAGAGAGGGGAAATGATCTGAAGTAGACCAAGTCTTAAATAAAAAACAGCTTATTCTAAAGTCCCATTAAACACAAAATTTCTGTCAAACATAAAAATCAAGACATTCCTCAAAATAAAGCATTATTGAAATTAGACACTTTTAAATTATTCTTTTCCTTAAATAATATCATGTTAATTAGAGCCTTTCTTAGGCTTGGTTTCACCTCTGTCACTAGACCAAGTCTCTTACCTGCCTCAGTTTCCCCATGTCTCCAGCAGTCTCTCCTCCTGGTAAAACACATTCCTTTGGTCCAATTTGAATCATGAGAGCCTCCAGATTGGAGAACTGATCATTATCGGGGAACTCACACAGTCCTAGCTTCCTTTGTATGGAGTCAACATACCCAACTCCAACCTGTCTTTGGCCATCAACTGTAGACATTTTAACACCCACGGTACCAATGGACGTTGACATATCATTGTTACCAAAGAGAATATCTTCAAACTGAGAAAGATTACCCGGAGAAGCCTAAGCAATAACAAAGAAAAAGTTTAAGAAACTATTGGATGTACTTTAAAATTTTACTAGCAAACAAGAATTACCCAACCTGGATGAATTTAACAAAATGATTTTTACACACACAAAAAAAAGCTTATAACCATATATTCCAATAATTATCACCAATGTTCAATAAAGTACCCATACTTTTCCACATATTTTCAGAGCACTTGGACATATCTAAAATTAATTGTATCAAGTGATTTTCAGTTTGTAATTTGGCAACTGAGTTTATATACACACACAATCATTAAGGAACCCAAAGTGATCATCCTGTCAATGCTAGGCTTAAATTTCTACATTCTGCCAAACTACCCATGGGTTGCACATATCAGTATTTTCACTAAGTAGCTATTCCACATAGAAGAGCAGTTATTATTTAGCTTAAATACTGACTTTGAAAAGTCTCTCTGTATCAATATACTATGTGTAAAATGCAGATTATTCTGGATCAGTGATTTTCCAAATAAAGGGTCCTTGACCTATTTTCAATACTTCAGAAAGATTAGAAATAGCTCTTTAAGATTGCATAGACTAATTAGTGTCAAGTTTCTTTGCTTTTGACTGGACAAGTCTGTGGTGACACTATAAACCTCAACCAGAGGCATTCTGAGGCAACTGACAACCATGGTAATAAAACATGAGCTAGTTACAAATAGTTCAAATGGGCTCAGTGATAGTCAAAGCAACCAGTAGCCATCAATTGTTCTTAAATGTGGTTGGCATCATAATCATTTATCTTTTCACAATATGATTCTAAATCTCCTGTACTATGGTTTAAAATCTGGATCAAAAAAGAAAAATTATCGATATTTTTTAAAAAGCACCAATTCAATCATAAATGTAAACATCCTATTTTCACATACAAGCTTTGAATTTACACACACAGCTTATGAAGCACACTTTAAATACACTTAAAAGTGAACCAGTAGCTAATAAAATTAGATTCTTGAAGATGAAAAATGACATGATTGGTAATATCTGAACATACAAACTACTGAGAACATGGAAAGAAAATCACAGATCAACTATTTTAAATATCACTAATACTTTACAATAGAATCAATAAGTAAGCTAAAAATAGCAGTTTTCGATCTGAATTTCTTAAAAGTCAGGATGAACACCTTTTAAACCTGATAAAGATACTTATTTTAACATCCTCCCTTCTCCCTTAAAAAGTAAAAAGAATTCATCTTGAACAAGAATAGATTGATCTAGAGACAAATGGGGGGGGGGGCGTGGTTAGAGAGCAACCAAAAGACTTGTATGCATGCATATTAGCATAACCAATGGAGACAGTCACTGGGGCGGTGGGGGCTTGCCCAGGGTGGTAATGGCTTGGGGGAGGGGGGGAGGCTCAATTGGGGAAAAAGAAGATTATGTAAAACTTTAGACAATTAAAAAAAAAAAGAAGAATTCATCTTGCCCTGTGACTGGGTAATTCAGTTAATAAGAGCATTGTCCTGATACGCCAAGGTTTAAGGTTCAATCTTCAGTCAGGCCACAAGCAAGAGTCAAACAATGAATGCACAATTAAGTGGAACAACAAATCAATGTTTCTCTTTCTCTCTCCCTAAAATCAATAATTTAAAAAAATTTTTTCAGTTCATCTTGAAAGATTCTGATGACATAAAGGACTGAGGTGTGACCAACTGATAGCCATAGTAATCACTTAAACTTACGACTCTTTATTTTTATTGATTTCAGAAGGAAGGGAGGAGAGGTAGAAACATCAATGATGAGAATCATTGATCAGCCACCTCCTGCACACCCCCTACTAGGGATTGAGCCTTCAACCCAGACATGTGCCCTGACCGGAAATTGAACCGTGACTTCCTAATGCATAGATTGATGTTCAACCACTGAGCCACACCAGGCAGGCTTAAGATACTTTTTTTTTAAAAGTTCTATGAGTTTTTTTCTTGTGGAGTTTAATGTAATATTTAAACATTTGATGTTGGTGCTGCTTCAAATGTAATATTTTTCAACCTTCATTTCATTACCCCTCCCAACCCCACTCCATTTGTAAAACTAGACATTTACTGAAGATTATATCTGAGAGAATTTAGCATTCTACACTATGGGAATTTTCATTGCTTACTAAAAGAAGTGGGTCTTTTACTTAAGAGTTTTAGCCTAGCCCTAGCCGGTTTGGCTCGGTGGACGGAGTGTCGGCCTGCGGACTCAAGGGTCCCAGGTTCGATTCCGGTCAGGGGCATGTGCCTTGGTTGCAGGCACATCCCCAGTGGGGAGCGTGCAGGAGGCAGCTGATAGATGTTTCTCTCTCATCGATGTTTCTAGCTCTCTATCCCTCTCCTTTCCTCTCTGTGAAAGTTCAATAAAATATATTTAAAAAAAAAAAAAAGAGTTTTAGCCTATATCTTGAAAGATTTTAATAAAAAATGGAGGGTACCACAAAGGATGTTTTCTATCTCATTCCTCATAGAACTCAGTAACAACAAAGAGTCATACGTTTGCTGGGTTACAGAACATGATCACCATTAAAGTCCCAGACTTACAAAAACTTGCAATCTAATGGGAGAAAGGCACATACAAAGATACAAACACATTACAAATGTGTATAAGTGAGATATTTGGAATACTGTAAATTTGTGTAAAATTACTTCACAGACAGTAAAATCAAATCTTTATTTAATGCTGTATTCTTTATGTAACAGCTATTTATTACTTATCTTTCAGGAACAGTGACAAAGATCAGTGTTCATATTTACAAGGATTTACTGAATTTCTGAGTTACTTTTAAACTATAGTTTTTAAAAAATCACATGCTAAAAATTAAAATTTCTCAAAGCATTTTACTATCACACCTGGTTAAAATATTAAAACATAAAGAATCTCCTTAGACTTTAATTTTTTCTATGCTTAAAAATAAATAAATAAGTAAATAAATAAGATAATTACCTTAAATGCCAAATACCAATCATTCTCCTTGGAGGCCTTATTTCCAGCTCTATTCTTATAAACTTCAACTCTATACTGCCGAACTAGAAGAAGATCTTTTACAAAAGACTCAAAATTCATTTTACTAAGCACAACACTCTCCAGAGTCTTTGCTCCTAAAGAAAAATATTAAAAATGTTACAAATTTGAGAATTTGAAGTAATGTGTTCCAAGTACCTAACACAATATATCCCCCCCAAAACTACACGGTTCTCTCAGTAATTCATTCATTCAATAAAGCACCTATTGTATGTCCTCAGGATTTTGGTAAATGAGAAGTATAAAATGGTGAATAGAGCCCAGCCTGTGTGGCTCAGTGGCCAAGCACTGACTCAAGAACCAAGAGGTTCACTGGTTGATTCTCAGGGCACATGCCTGGGCTTTGGGCTCGATCCCCAATAGGGGAAGTGCAGGAGGCAGTCGATCAATGATGTTTCTCATCAAAGTTTCTATCTATATATTTCTCTCCCTTCCTCTCTCTAAAATGGTGAACAGACATAGCCTTCTGCTTCTGTGAAGCCTGTAAATTAAAATTAAAAACTGAGAAGATATAAAGAGAAAACAACGAGTAAAAATACATAGCTAACTTTACTTGTTCTTTCTTATAATTTTTCACAATTTTGAACACAAGCCATATAATAACTATATAGTATTTGTATGGAATGGAATTAATTTTTCAAAAGGTTCATAAAAATTAGTCGTTATGCACTATAAAATGCCCTGGATAATATATTCACATAGCTAAAAATTCAAAGGTTCAAAAAGGTGCAGTAGTTTCCTTTTCACCACTGTCCCTTACACATCCAGGTCACCAGCATAGTGTTATCAGTTTATAAATATACTAGAGGCCCGGTGCATGAGATTGGTGCACTGTGTGTGTGTGTGTGTGTGTGTGTGTATGTGTGTGTCCCTCAGCCTGGCCTGCGCCCTCTCATAGTCGAGGAGCCCTTGGGGGATGTCCAACTGACGGCTTAGTCGGACATCCTTAGCACTGTTGCGGAGGCCTCCGCTGCTGCGCTCGCCAGCCATGAGCCTGGTTTCTGGGCTGGCTGAGCGGCGCTCCCCCTGTGGGAGCGCAATGACCATCAGGGGGCAGCTCCTACGTTGAGCGTCTGCCCCCTGGTGATCAGTGCGCATCATAGTGACCAGCCATTCCGCCATTTAGTCGATTTGCATATTACCCTTTTATTATATAGGATATTCTCAAATGTAGCACATGCACACACAGCAAATATAAATAAAGCATTACTTTTTTCCTTTTACATAAATAGTTATTATTACACACACTGTTCTGTATCTCGATGTTGTTTTTAACTTTAATATATTTTGAAGATTGTTCCATCAATACTTAATCAGCTTCTTTTAGTTTGGAGCTGCAAACAATCCCATGACTCTAAGAACGTTCTATAATTTAGTCTCTTACTGATGCACAGACATATAGGTTTTAGCCTTTGTTATTATAACTGCTATATGAACAGCCTTGTCTGTGCTACACGCTCCAAACATGTGAGTCTATCTGTGATTAAAGTCTTAAAATTGGATTTTATCAAAGGATATGTGTGATTTTTATAAATATCACCAGACTATCCCCCTGGTTGGCTATGCCAATTAACACCACCATCCATAAAGTACAAATGCATATACTTTCCCCCCCTATCCAGTCAACATAGTTTTCAAATTTTCTGGTCTTTATCTTGGATCATTGATCCTCAACAAGAAGTGATCTGGCTCCCCTAGCAGACATGTGGCAATGTCTGGGGAACATTTGGGTTGTCACAATTTAGGGGAAGGGAACACTAATGGAATCTAGTGAGTAGAAGCAGGGATGCTGTTAACCATACAAAGGATAACCCCTCACAACAACAAATTATTCCGTCCAAAATATCAATGTTGCCACAGCTAAGCCCACTGGCCGTGAGTTTAACATGCTTGATCTATAACAGGGGTGGGCAAACTTTTTGTGAGTGCATGCCAAACCCAGCAATCTCTGACTCAAAATTCTTGTGCATGCCAACCCTAATTTTTTGAGAACATGTTCCGCCTACTTGATATCTCTTAAGGTGTGCGTATGTGAAGAACCTTGAAGAAATAATAAAATTCATTCAAGCGACAAAAACACAGTATATGATGATGAAAAATACATTTATTTTTAATGTATACATGTTATGTAAAATTATATATTTATCTAAGATGCACCTACACTGAATTTATCTGAAAAATAAAAAAGTCGATATTAAGAAAAAAATTGTAAATGGAAGATTATAAGAGAGGGTTTCACGTGCCAGCAAAAGTTACTGGTGTGCCATGTTTGGCACGCATGCCAGGGGATCAGGCAGGTAACAAATTAGCAAAGGATGAATTACAACAAAGACCATATGGGATGGTGAGAACTGACAAAAGGAGAAAAGTACATCAGGTAAAAAAGGAATCTAGACTCACTAGGTCTGAGAGCAGCTACTCAGCTCCAACCCACTGCTGAAGTGCAGGGATATTTTTGCCCAGAGTTTCCAACTGTGCAGATTTTTCAAAAAGAAGCTTTAAGCCCTTGTTGGCTAGCTCAGTTGGTTAGATGTGCCAAGGTTGCAGGCTCAATCCCCAGTCAGGGCACACAAAAGAATCCTATATAATAAAAGGCTAATATGCAAATCGACCAGTCACTATGATGTGCACTGACCACCAGGGGGCAAACGCTTAATGCAGGAGCTGCCCCCTGGTGGTCAGTGCACTCCCACGGGGGGAGCGCCGCTCAGCCAGAGGCCGGGCTCACGGCTGGCGAGTGTAGCGGCAGTGGCGGGAGCCTCTCCCACCTACACGGCAGTGCAAAGGATGTCCGACTGCCGGCTTAGGCCCGCTCCGCATGTCAGTCGGACATCCCCTGATGGGTCCCGGACTGCAAGAGGGCACAGGCTGGAATGAGGCACGCCCCCCCCCCCCCCGCACGAATTTCGTGCACCGGGCCTCTAGTGAACCAATAAAATGCATCAATAAGTGGAACAACAAATCAATCAATCTCTCTCTCATATCAATAAATAAAAATTTTAATTAAAAAAAGAAGCTTGAGCCCGGCTGGCCTAACACAGTGGTTGTGCATGACCTATGAACCAGGAGGTCACGGTTCAATTGGTTCGATTCAGGGCACATGCCCCGGTTGCAGGCTCAATCCCCACTAGGGGAAGTGTAGGAGGCAGCCAATCAATGATTCTCTCTCATCACTGATGTTTCTATCTCTCCCTTTTCCTTCCTCTCTGAAATCAATATAAATATATGTTTTTAAAAAACAAGTTGAAAAAAGAAAAAAATCAGGTTGAATGAAAATTATATTTACTCTAGAATCATATTCAACATGGCATGTACTCACATTCTCACAGGCATATGCAGGAATTAAGGCCTATCCAGGTTGCAGCAGACTCACATCTCCCAACTAATACTCAGATTCAGAACCACAAGGTGAAACGAGAGGCTCCATTTTAATTCTTCCCTGTTTTTGCCTAAAACATAGGGGGACCATGCTGGTTTGCCCAAGACTTTTCCAGTTTTAGTACTCAAAGTTCAGCATCCTAGAAGCCACCCTCATTCCTAGGCAAACCAGAATGATTGGCAAACCCTATCAGCCCATCTAGATGAATTCCACATAGGTATTCCTATGATGAAACATCCAAAAAAAAAAAAACTTGCTCGAGAATAGCACTGAACCAGAGTTAATACAAAACCAAACAGGAATTTCTCCCAGAAACACTTAAAAATACCATTGTGAATATAGTCAGCAACTTCTAGCAAATATGGCAATGAGTTTCAAAACAGTGTTTTTCATATCATCCTTCAATTTTTAAGGCAAAATATAAAGTGCAACCCAGCAAAAACAATTCTGGGGAGGGAAAAAAAAACACTGACCTGGCATAATTCTTTAACAGCTCTTACATAATCAGTCCAGTTAGATATGCCAGCATTTGAATTTGAATACTTATCACAGGATGAACAAGCACTCTCAGATCTGCAAGCATCACCACTCCCCATTCTTACACCTGACTACTTTGCACATCAATAGTATCTGCTTGGCCCCGAGTCAAGTACCTAGAACAATAGTTGTCTTTTTACTGACACATTTAACAGAACACAGGCTCACAACTGTGGTGATGTCTTAACAGTGGGTGGGGAAAGGAGGCAATGAATAGGTGATTCCCCTCCCTCCCAAGGCCTCCTCTACCTCCATTACTAACCTACAGATTAAGTTGCCCAACCTCCAACGTTATCCTCCCAAGATACTACTCTCAAAGGGGTTTTGAGACACATTGGATGGCAATGCATTTTAAGTCATATTTACCAAGAAGCACCTGAAATGCAGCTACTTCTGGAAAAGAGCTAAGACCATATGCTTTCAGTCAGAACAGCTGGGAAGTAGGACTGATCTCCTGGTGTGAAATAAGAGGAACAAGAAGAGAAAGCTACCCAGCCTCCACCTGGTTATAGCAGAAAGAATACCCTCAGGTTGGTGCAACATTCTTTTTCTAGAAGAATGTGGATGTCAACCTGGATGCCCGGCCATGGCTCAATCTGGTTGAGTGTCCAGGTCATGGTTCAATCCCCAGTTAGGGCACATGCCTGTGTCATGGGCTTGATCCCCAGTAGGGGGTGTGCAGGAGGCAGCCAATCAATGATGTTTCTCTCTCATCGATTTCTCTATCCCTCTCACTTCCTCTCAATAAAAATTAATAACATTAATATTTAAAAAATAATGTGGAGGCTCTGTCGACCCATGCACTGAAGGGTCTCGGGTTTGATTTCAATCAAGGGCACCTTGCAGGGATTGCAGGTTCAATCCCTGACCCAGGTTGGGGCATGTACAGGAGGCAACCATCCATGAGTTTCTCTTACATCGATGTTTCTCTCTTTCTCTCTCCCTCTCTGTCTCCCTCCCTCCTTTCCTTCCACTCTCTCTAAAAATTAATGCAAAAAATAACCTCAGGTGAGGATTAACAACAAAAAAGAAATAACCCAAGTGTCCATCAATTGATCGAAATATGGTACATCCATAAAATAATGTCAAGTGAAAAAAGTCAGGCCTTAGTGGTGTGGCTCAGTGATTAAGCATCGACCCATGAACCAAGAGATCACTGGT